TTGTCACCCTCCTCCAGCATCCCAACTGCCAGTGTCATGGGCTAGCCCCGCCACACCTGGCCTCATTTCTTCCCCTACTTCTTTGATTTGAAGAAATCACATTCAGTTGTAAAGAAAGAATGTCTACCCTGGTTACTCCACTCCTTCAGCCAGTCATAGCACCAAGCTTCCTTCTAGTCATTCCTGTCTGAGGATTTTCCATGGTACTTTGCACAGTCAGAAGTATTCCCTTTGGTGACTGTGAAACTGTGCTGCTTCTTCTTTCCTGAGAAGCCCATTGCTGACTGGACTTCCTTACCTCTTGAGGTTCTGCCCTTGTCCAGACTGTCCTGAAATTATGCCCCGGATCTGTATGCTAGCAGGGCTAGTTCTGTAGAGACAGAATTTTCCTTTAGGGTTTGGGTTTGGAGAATACTCATGAGAAGACAGACCCAAGGCGCTTGAGTGTCTGACCCTAGTTTGTGCTGTTAACTCTGCTCTGCCAAGATCTTTTTTTTTTTTTTTAAGGACTGAGCCATGATCTAGTGTTGGAACTGGGAACACGGTGGGCTACTAGGTTTTGGAGTGTCCAGCGGTTGGCTAACATGCAGGAGGTGACAGAGGGCTATAGCATGGCAGTGGACTTTGGAGACAGCTACATCTGGATTCAGTTCTTACTTTTGGCACACTGGCAGGCCTCAGCTCTAAAACAGGCTAATACAGGCATGCTTGGACTTCCTTGTCTTGGATGCCTGGATCTAGGTCCTCCCCAGCCCCAAGGAAAGGATCATTTAGTTGTCTTAAAGTTAAAACTACATATTCCAGTTTTTGTCTCGTGGCTTTCTATAAGTTCTAAGATGGCTACAGGCTCAGTGGACAGGAAATTAAATGTCTGTCCTATTGGCCAAACTGTAAGTATCTGTTCCATAATTTCTTACAAACTATAGGGAACTTATACTGTGGTTTAAGTCATCCAAGTGAATGGTAGCTCATGGCTGGGTCCTGTAGCAAGCTGTTACATCAGGGCAGGAGTGTATGGGAGAGGAAAACCATTGACACCATAAGTCAGGAAGCAGAGAAGATGAGAAGATGGTTCTATAGACTGTATCTAGAGAAGTGTCCATCTAATGTGCAAGGCTGGTCTATGACTTGAATCTAAAGCAAAGCAAACAACAATAAAAATCATCCGACTAGATCTCCTGTTCCCCTCTCCAGGGAGTCAAGACTCTCTGGAGGGGGAGAATATAGATGACTTGGTGCCCTGGAACATTCTAGCTGTGCATTTTGGAAAGATAGGAAGTTGCCACAGAGGCTCAGGGTATTCTGCCCAGGGCTCATCTTAAGTGTGCAAGGCAAGGCTCCTTAAAGAGACGGTGGGCATTTTAAGAGGAATTCCCAGCAGTGTGGTGATCACAGCATCAGTGGAAGGAGGAAAAGAAGAAGATAATCAGGACAAAGAACAAAGGCTGTAGATGCAGAGTAAATAACCAATGAACTGTGCCAGGTAAAGGCCAGGGTATCAGAGTATCGGGATCTGTCCCTGTGCTTCTCAGACAGTTCAAGAAGAACCAGATGACTCACTGATGAAGATTGTAACTTGCAAGGTGCCAATGCTGAGGGCAGTGTGGGGGCAGACTCCTGGCCTCGCTGTGCATTGCTCACTGCTTAGCCTTCCCTTCCCTTTATCTCCCCCAGTGCCTTCAATGCTTCTTCCTGCTCAGGCTCCATCTAGGAGCTCCCTGTCTGTCACAGACCTCAGCAGGTTCCAGTGCAGAGCTGAGAACTGCTGTGTGACACAGAGAAAAGCAACGCTCTTCCTCTAGTATCTGCTGCACGCATCTGCTTTGAGTGTGACCGAACTGAAGTGGGTTTAAGGAGGTCTAAGATGATGGGACTTAGACTCCACTCTCCACCTATGTCCTCTTAGCTCTGAAGGTTAAGTGGACTGAGCTTGAAAACGGAGAAAAAGTAATATTCATCTCAGTTAATGTGAACATTAACAACCTGCGAGACTCAACAGTGTCTGGCACACAATGAATGCTCTAAAGAATAATAAAATAAATAATAAAACTCAGTGAAAATGCTCATACACTATAGGTGGGATGTACTTTAGTATAATTACAACCACTTTGAAAATAATTTAGTGGTACATAATACAACTCAATCCATGCACAAATTATGCTCTAACCACTCCATTCTTAGGTGTGTTCCCAAATAAATATTCTCTCAGATGCATAAGTGGCAGTTACCTATGACTGTGCAACAAACTCATATATAGAAATGTGTCCGTAATTTAACAGGGGGACATGATATGGTCAGCTTGGACATCTAGCCATACTACCATCTACAGAGGTACCTAAAACTTCCTGCAACCAGGCTAAAGTCATTTTATTGTCCTGAAATATTCCAAGAATAAGCAAGTTGCTAACTATGTCATCCCAACATATGGCTTTCCTTACTGTGAACAACCTGAGAGAGATTCAATGTCCTCTCTTGTGGTTTTCTCATCGGCTCTTGTCTTTGTCTTTTGATCTCTTCCTCCAATTCTTTCCAGAACAACTGCATTGTGCAAGAAAAGTTTAACTTTATCCTCAAACATGCTAGATGGCATACTGGATTAGTGGAAGGGATGTTAGATTGAGAACAGATTTTAATGAAGACGTGCATTTGGAAAACATGCTAATTTGTCCATCAAAGTCATGTACTGTTTTCAAACTGAAGTGTGTTTACCAGAAGATTCCCAATCCTGTTCCTCTTTTAAGCTCTGAGAACAGAGCTGGGATTGTGGAATTGGAAGGGCAAAATGAAGCCTTTCAGTCTGACCATATCATCAAGTCACCTTGGGACGGGATCAACACGAAAGATACACTTGACAGCTGTAAAATAACCTGAGAAGGATGTATCTTCCTTTGTTCAGACCTGCTGGGGGAAAATGGAGAATATCTCTTTTCTTATATTCTTCTAGTTCTCCTAGTGGAGGTTAGAAACTCTACTGTACTGGCCAGTACTATCCACTTTGCCTCACATGGTACTTTGCTGGGTATTTTGGTTATATTCACAGAAACACTTTGATACCGTTATAGCAAAAGATGAGAGCAGAAAGGAGAATGAAATATGGATGTATCTCAATGAAAACACCATGGACACTTTCTGATGACTCAGAAACAGATGTTCAGACTTCTGAGTAAGACCTTGGATAGTTGGTTTAGCATCTACTTTGTGACACTGAGGCCTGAGCCTCTATGGAGAGCTTGGGAAGAGATGAAGGAAAGAATGTGACTTTCTTCTTCTAGCCACCTAACTTAATGCTGCCATTTTGAATGAGGTTAAATGGGAGAACACCTGACTCCAATCTCAGAAAATTTAAAGGAAGTCACTAGAGACATACCCTGCCAGGAGAATCCACCCATCATTCAGTAGCCTTTCTGGTGCTTTCAGAGGGTGTTGCTCACAGTCTATAAGGAGGTTAAGAGAGAACTGTCAGTGGTCACCAGAGAGTGAGCTGTCATTAGATGGCAATTTCCCACTTAATTACCCTGAAGCTTAGGGAAGAGCAGTCAGTGACCCTTGGTTTTCATGGAGGCTGGTCCCTGGACTCCATGGATCTCAATGTCTAGGTATGCATAGGTTCCTCCTGTAAAAGGCAAGCTATATGTATGCTCACATAGAGGTTAGTCATCTATATGCTACATATAATATCTAATGAAATGTAAATGATGTACAGATAGCAGAATGGTATACTTTAGTGAATAATGCCAAGGGAAATAATACATGTGGTCGGTACAGAGACAACTGTTTCTCACTATATTTTATCCCTGTGTGGCAAATCTGTGGGTAAAAAGACCTCAGATGTGGAAATCTCACTGTGCATCAGTTATTTCTTCAATACTTCTTACATCTAATAGGCTAAGTGCTGTAAATAATGACACAAAACTGTCTCATATGCTTTAGAGCCTGTGTCTTCCAAACTGTACAAGAGTTAGAGCTAAGAGCCACTGCACCCCTGATTTGACAAAGACATGATAACAATTTGAGAGAATTGTTTTTGGGTCATGGGGTTAACTTCAGTCAGTACATTTTTTAGTTTTTTATTTAATCTGAAATTTAAAGAAGAAAAATTATGAAATTATCAATTCATGTGTTGATACAGGTTACCAGATCTTGTAAGATCTCAAGGGAAGTCTGTAAATTCTCTACAATATCTCAAAACAAAATTAACTAATCCTATTAAGGACAATAATTAGTGAACCCCTCAAGACTACAAGGAACTACTCTCAGAACTTTGTATAATTTGAGTCATGTATTTAAATTGCTAAACGTCCCCAGGAGGTCAAGAGCTATTCTTATTTGCTTTACAAAGAAGGAAACCAAGAATAGATCAGATAATTTGAAGAACATCACATAGCTGAAAACCAGTTCTCAGAATGCAGCCAGTCCTCCCCAGAGCATGTGTCTTATTGTTTTCCACTACATCCGTCTGCACAGTGGGGCATCTTCAGCCTTCAGCTCCTGGGTGCTGCTGGACATAAAGAAGGTGTCCGTCTGGTTGCTCAGTATGAGATATCTTCAGCCTGATGTTTCATTGCTCTGTGCTTCTTGCCACAGCCCCCATGTTGCAGCAATTTCATGGCTTACTACATCATTTCGATCTTCTTGCTTACTTATGTTTTTATAATGTAAGAACTGTATCAAGATAGAACTTATAAATATGCAACTCACTCATTTAAAATGAACAATACAGTGGCTTTTGTAGCTTCATAGAATTGTACAACCATCACTACCATCAGTTCTAGAACATTTCCAACCACTCAGAAAAGAAATTTTATATCCGTCCCCAGCTGCTTTACTCTCTACAACTTCTGACAAACACTCTCCTTTCTGTCTCTAAGTATTTTTCTATCATTAACATTTCATATAAATAGAATCATACAACATGTGACCTTTTCTGTCCACCTTCTTAGTATGAAGTTTTCAAACTGTATCTGTATTATCGCATGTCTCAGCCCTTCATTCCTTTTTCGGTTTAATACACATTTCATTGTCTGAATCTACCACATTTATTCACACATGCATTATGTGATGGATATCTTTCCACTTTTGGCTATTGTGAATAATTCTGCCATGGATGTTGGTGTGCAAGTTTTTGTGCTTTAATTTCTCACAGATATTTACATACAGTAGTGTAGTTGCTGGGTTTCTGCTTAACATTGTGAGGTCTTGCCACATCACTTTGCTCTTAGCTTGCTTTTGAAACTATTTTTATTTATATGCATGTATGTCAACATGCACACATATGTGCAGGTGCCCAAGGAGGTCACACGAGAGGATCAGATTGCCTAGAACCAGAGTTAACAGATGGTTGTAAGTTGTCCATGTGGGTGCTGTAGACTGAACTCCGGTCCTTGGAAGAGCAGCAAGCATTTTTTAGCCTCTGAACCATCTCTCTAGCCCCTGTTTGTTTGCTTTTGTTTTTTGCTTATTGATAGTAAGATGATTCTAGCCTGCAATAAAAGTGAAATAGCTTGTTTCTCAGTAGGGCACCTTGAGCTTAGACAGCAAAGGTATCAGATATTGTCTTCAACAGTCAGCATCTGGTTGGTATGCACAGTGAAGCCAAATGGAACAACAGAGTGTCATTAAGTTTTTTCATGAGTATATGAAACAAATTTAATAAATGATGCTAACAATGACAGGTTATAGATGTTATAAACCATAGCTCTTCTAAGTAACCTATGAAGTAAAAATATTACTCAATTTTAGAACTCTTAAAATGTTGTAGATTTTCTCTAGACTGGTTCTAGAATTCTAGTACTAAAAATTTTAAAAACCACAAGACTGATAGCAGTTATTCTTTCTGTGTTGTTAACAGTAGAGTTGGGAAGAAAAGGTTTTGTTTGAATTAAAACAAATAAACAAACAAACAAACTAAAACAACAAAAAAATAAACTTCCTAAAATAGAAAACTATTTAGAAGAAACTGAGGTGGATCAAAGACATCTCCACTGGGGTTGCTACCAGGAAGTAGGAAATAGGTTAGGCAGTGTTATTTTTCCTGGCTCTGTGTACTTATGATACTATCGTTTACATTTTCTACAGGTACACAGAATTTGTTGCCAAATAAAGCGTGATAAGAGCTAGTAAGTATTAACAGAAAAGAGAAATGAGGAACACAAGATGTTTATTGGGTTTTGCTAGAAAGGGTCCCTATTGTGGTGTCCAGCTGTTGGGAAGCATGAAGATTAATTTGAACGTTTGTCTACCAACCCACTTCAGAGGCCAGTGGGAGACACAGAGGACAGCCAGAGCCAAGAACACACCTGGTGGTGCAGTTTGTTTGTGATACCTTCAAAACACAAATAAGTACATTTATATCTAGCATAGTAAATGATGGTCATTGTTTTTAAAGAGTAATTATAGTTTGTATGGTAATGACCTTGCTTAATGAAACATGCGTGTGTGTGTGTGTGCACATAGTCTTTTTCCTACAAACAGAAACCAAAGTGATCAATTTGCTTTACTACAGTAGGTAGGAAAAAAGTGAATATTTAACTAAAGGGTATATTATGCAATTCTGAATAAAGGTAGCTTCTCATTTAGATTAAAATTGTGAATGAATTTTAGGAAAAGCAATAGAATTGTTATTATTTTTAAGGAACCTTCAATCACCCACAGGACTGAAGGCTGGAGAAGAGTGTCTCTGACACACCACTTAGTCCGTAATGTCCAGTCATCAGTTGCTCACAACGCTCTTGATCCCTGTGGAGAGATGAGACCTGACGATTCAGCAACCAACCCAGGAGCTGGATTTCACCACACTAACCACGTCTTCCTTCTCTGTATCATACTTGAATGTTTTCGGTCCTGAAAAGAAGTAAATGTAGCCTAGAGGAGAGAAAATTGAAATTGTGGTTACTGAAGAGTTCTTGGAGAGATGTGTGGCTCTCTAAGGGGGGAGGTTTATAATACAACCACAGATTTCTTGACATGGCACCAATGAGGAATCAGGGGTTGGTTAGATGGCAGTGAGCATGTCTTCTGCAGATCTCCAACAAGCTCTAGAACCTGATCCCTAACTTCTCAGATCATTCCCGAGGCTTTCCTTTGTTCCAGCAGGGTTCGGGCTTCACTTCTGGCCATATGAAGGCATGTTCACCATGCTTTATGTTTTTGCTTAGACCATTCTCCTCAGAGAAGTCCTTCCTCCTTTTTATAGCCTACCAAATGTTTAGCTGGCCATCAGAACCAGCTAAGGTCTCATGAAATAGCCAACTGCCATGTATGACACCATCTGTCTCAGATCACTCCTTGAAGTCACTCTGAAGCCTATTAACACCAATCAGTGCTAAATTACAAGCTGTTTCATTTTCCAGTGGCTTCACCTGTGTTAGATGGGTAGGCATTTCCCAAGGATGTTCAACATTCCAGGAGAACAGAAGCCGCATTGGAATCTCCTTTGAGTTTCTGAACACTGACTCTGTGCTACATACTCAAGAACATGATTCAGGATGTATTTGGATTTGTGTGGCTTGCATAAAATACTCAGTTCATCTAATTTCTTTAACGATGTGTTTGATTTTAGGAGTTGGGTGACAGAAAGGTCAAAGATTGGGAAGGCTCCAGCTCCTGGGTTGAAGCTCCATTGTGGTATTGTTGTTTGTTTGTTTTTTGAGAAAAGGTCCATTTCGTATCCCAGGCTGTAGTCAAACTTTTCATCTATCTGCTTCAACCTCCTGAGCACTGGGATCACAGGCCGAAGCTGCACCTTTTGTGGTTCATTTGAGAAAGGGTCTGTCACATCCCAGGCAGTCTTTAGCTCTGCCATGCAGATGAGGATAGCTTTGAATTTCCTTTTCCCAAATTCTGGGATTACAAGTCACATAACCAGTTTATACTGTGTTGGTAATTGAATCCAGGGCTGTGCATGGTATTTAGGTCAGGGTCGGGTTTTCTGCATCCCACTTGAAGACATACTTTTAAATATGTCTATTAGTAAAGGAAGAGCTACAAATTTATTTTTATTTACTTATTTTTCAATAAAGGATTTAAAAAATAATTCCTCTTCCTAGTAGGTAATGAAGTTACCTACTAGCCGGCTATTTAAATGTATAAAATGACTTTGGACCAGTGACCTCCATTGAAACCAATTTCTGTTGAGTTACAGCAGAGCCCAGACTGCTTGTTCTAATTTTCTGGGGGACATTTTCAGTGGGGAAGCTCACCATTCAGTTCCACGGCAGCATCTATATGGCCACTCACTCCTGAAAACTCTTCTTCAGTGTTTTTTGGGTAGTCCTTTTCCATTTTCTTTTTTCTTTCATCATAGCTGAAAGACATTATTTCATAAATAAATTACTGATGATTACAGGTGACATTAAGGTGGTCAATAATATTAGCTAGATCTGATTTGAACATATTTGAAATCTCTCTCTTTCTCTCTCTCTTGAATGAATAAATGACTGTGTGGATAATCAATACATTAGAACCAAGAAAATCTACAATAACTAGATCTTAAAAAGTTGGCTCTTGCTAAATTCCAAACATTATTTTATTTCACATTCTGGGTACTGGAACCCTGCATCTTTTCTTGCTGCTTCCCATTCTTCCATGTTACCTCACCATGCAGGGCCACTGGCTGCTGATAGATCCTGGGGGATGGACAGCCACTGTCTTTCACTGTATACACTGAAGAGCCCACTGGGCTCTAAAGGATAGTTCCACACGTGAGCCTCTTATCTTTTAAATCACATCACCTGAATCCATTGCTCTTTCCTGGCAAGATGAGACTAAGCAGAGAATAGATTAGTATTCTAGCTCTGACATCAGTTAGGTATGCCTTTCTGTGACCTAAGTTACACTTGTAAAAGGCTGTGATTGTGAGTCAGCAGTACAGTATGAACTCAGGACAGGTGGGGATGACTCTTACTCTTCAGTGAGATGTCATTTAAAATACGAGAAAGTCCCTTCTTCACGAATACAGAGCCCCAGGCTGGGGCATTCCCATTTGCACACATCACCAGTAGGTCAGCTATTTTTTTTCTCTCTGGGTTGCTGGGTAGTTTCCTATGGCAGATTTTGCCCACAATCTCCTGAGATGTACCTCTGCCCAGATAGCTCAGGGGAAAACAGCTGTGGAAATCTGAGGGGGAACTGAACCTCTACAGAGATTTTCAGGCTGAAGGGACAGAGGGCTGGGCTGCTCTCTAGAGTACTATGGACGGGGCTGGTGGGGAAGGAATTCTCTCAACATGTCAACAGATCTATTCTGATGTATTAACATTCCATTGAGACCATTTACGTAGATATAGGACCAGGGCTCTGCGCCTCTGACACAAAGTTACCTGCTTTTCATTTTGCTGAGTAAGGACATCATCATCAAATCGCCTTTACCTTGCTCTCTCATCAGTTCACAAGGAAAGACATTATCCCTAAGGAAGGCAGGGAGGATGTAAGCTGAGCAGAAGACAGTTCCTACCAATGACCTTCCCAGTGCTGACAAAGGATGCTCCTCCCCTTGGTGCTGCTCTTATTTGGTTGTGAAAACGTGGTGGTGGTCTTGCCCTTTGTGTACAGATATTTGGGGATTCCAGCAACAGAGCAAAGAACATTACACCTATAGGTCGATGGCTTTGTGTTTGGCTTTTTGACCCTTATCTACTCACAGTATAATTAAGAAAATATGAGCATATTCTCTGAGCTGTAGGCTTTCATTTGGAAAAGATCCGCCATGAGGATAAGACAATTCACATGAGTTGTATGACAGCCTCACATGCATGTTGTATGACAGCCTCCCCTGCCTTATGTGGGAGCCAAGGCAAGCTCCAGCCACAGATGTTGTGGTTTATTTTTACCTCAAGTCTAGCTTTTTAGTAGGAGGTCTAGCGGACTCTGGAATTTGATCTGGGACCCTAAGGCATCAACACATTTAATTCCTCATTTCTCTCTCTTTTCATTTTTGTCTTTCCTCGTTTCCTTTGTGCCAGGTTTGTCTTCAATCTTTAAACCTATGTCAGCAGATTGCATTTTGCACTAGGCAAGGATTAAAGGAAGGGACAGAGGACTAGAAGATGGTTGAGGACTGAAGATAGCCAGGCAAAGGTTAAACAATATTGTAGAAGCCAAAGTTAAAGATGAAGCAGAAATTTATATAACTTTTTAGTTAGACCTACAGTTGACAGATAGTGTGGCAATCTTTAGCTATCACAAAGGAACTATAGTCTGAGGAGAGATGGCTCAGTGGGTAAGAGCTCTGGCTTCCCATCCAGAGGATCTAGGTTCCATTCTCAGCACTCACATAGTGTCTCACAGGCACACGTAACTCCAGTTCCAGGGCCTCCACAGACCTCCACAGGCATTGCATGCACGTGGTGCACAGACATGAAAACAGGCAAAACAACCATACACATAACATAAAACTAAATGAATCTTTAAAAGAGAAAAAGAAGAACGTGACAGTTCTATCAAGATGGCTCAGGCAATGAAGGCACCGTCTCCAAGGCTGACAGCCCGAGTTCCATCTCCAGGACCCACCTGTTGGCAGGAGAGAGCTGACTCCTGCAAGTTGTCCTCTGATCTCAACAAGCATGCCATGGCATTCCACCCTCTCCTCCAACAATTAATTAGATGCGAAATAAGAATAAACAGATAAATATGTCCCTGGTAGACATCACGTAATTGGAACTTCTTTTAAATCAAATCCGATGATCTTGCTGTACTTGAATTTAGTATTCTTGATGAGCTAGCTGTACGCCTGCTGTCTCATCTTCTGTCTTTTATGTCTTACACTTTTCCTCTCTACCCCTCCTTCCTATTTTGTTTGTATTAGTGAAAATTATGTAAAGAACATTTTAATTTTAAAATATTTTCTTAGGTTATTTCATCAGTGGTTATTCATGGGCTTACCATACTCTACTTTTTGTTGTTGAGTTTTAATTATTTATTTCTTTAATTCACTATGTAGCTGTGGGTGGCCTTGATCTCTGGCCTTCTTGCCTCTATATCTCAAATGCTAGGATCACAGGCATGCAGTGTATAATGCCTCATTCCATACATGTCTGCATTTCGAAAACTCAGCTTCCAGACTGAGGAGATGGCTCACTTGGTAAAATGCTTGTCTTTTATCCCTGGACATCTAAGTTCACTCCACAGCATCCATACAAAAAGCTGGGCATGGTGGTACATGCTTATCCCTGTGCTAGGAAGGTGGAGACAGACAGGTTCCTGGGCTCACTGGCTTGCAAACCTTGCCTACATAGCTAGTCCTAGGCCAGTAAAACTTAAGAAAGAGAAAGGTGAACAACAATGCCTAAGGCTGTCCTCCAGCCTCCAGATCCTGGACCTGTGGGCCTGTATGCATATAGATAAACACACATACACATATATACATCCACTCAAAACTCATAGCAAAACCTCAAACCGGGCTTCAGATATACAGTATCTTAATTCAAGTGTGATAGAGAGATGTCCTGAGCAGCTTTATTTTATTCCTGATCTTTTTGGGATTCTGTAATGTATTTATGAAATAGTTTTTTATAATTATAATTTTATAGTTGTATGTTTTGTAATGATGCTTAGAGACAAAAAACATAAGTATTGACTTTTTTTTTTGTTGCATCAGTCTTTTTGGTTAGCATTGTCTGCGAATGAGTGTTATCATTTGATATCACGTCCACAGCTCAAAACAGTTTTCTTTTCACCAGCAGAGGGAAATATGTGTGTGTGTGTCTATATTATAGTCCACAGTATGAGGATATGCATGTATAAATCTGTTTATTCTCAAATCAGTTAAGAAAAGACAGAAGAAGAAGCACATTTATATTATTCTGTTACTATATAAGTACATCTTCTGGTGCAATGTGAATTTGTGTATGTGTGAGTGTGTATGTGTGTATTTATTATACAGGATCACTTGCCTTCAGCATAAATAACTTTATTATTTCTTGTAAGGCAAGTCAGCGAGCCAGAAATCCTCAGAGATTTTGTTTATTTGAGAATATTCTGTTTCTATCTATGTATTCTCTGCCCCATATCTCTTTTAAACAGGTGATCACTCAGCATTTTTGGCTGGTCTGGCACCTACTATGTAAACTAGGCTGACCTCAAACGCACGACATTCTTCTGCCTGTTCTTAAAGTGGGGACTAAAGGCATCCACCACTATGCCCAGTCTCTCTTTCTGACTAAATGATAACTTTGCTACATGTAGCATTTTGGTTGGGAATTATTATTTTTTTTGAACACATTGAATAGGCTTTCTGTGGCGTTGTGGTCTCTCTCTTCTGATTTCTAGTCACGTCACAACATACTGAATTAATCTTTTATTTAACATACTTAGTAATTCCTCCTTTCCTGCAGAGTTGACATGGATCTCTCTCTGTCTGTAGAATAACAGGTCGTCTCTGGTCTGTCTGTTCTACCCTGCTTGTCTTGGACGCTTCCCTCCTGGGGCCGGTGAGAACACCGTTGAATGAATCACCTGCGGTTTCCACCACACTTACTGCCCATTCTTGCCCCAGTGCTTTCTCACCAATTGCTCTGTCTGCCTGGAAGCCACCTGCCCCCACCCACTCCTCTTGCCTTGACCCACTCTTGCCCCTACTCAAACCTGCCCCCACCCACTCCTGCCTGGGAAACTCCCACACGGCTCTGGAAGGGGGTGCGGTCCTCACTTCCCCTGGGCACTCTTTTCTGCCGCCTTGACTAGACTGCCTGTTTCCTCTTTGATCTGGCTCCCTGAAAACCATGTGGCTTCCCACAGAGGTCCTCTTGCACTTGAACTTCTGTCAATCATTTATCTGTAGATCTGCTAGGGCTATAGGATGATTTCTGGGTACAGATCAGGTGATAGGCATCACACACTTCTCCCCTGCACCCCCTCTCATTTTCAATTTGGTAACTCTGTGAACTTAAGCATAGTTTCTGCCTCCATTTTGTAAATAAAGAAATGGAGGGCTAGCCTGCTCATTGCTGGTCAAGTTGCTGTAAACACTGGCTTCCTTATTCCTGCTCACATCTCTCGTCTGTCTTGTGCTTGCTACACTGGGGATTGAACTCAGACCTCAACCTTGCTGTAGGAACACTGGGGCTCGAACTCAGGGTTCAGTCTTGACAGGGGAGCACTACTGAGCTATGTCCTCAGCCCCACTGCACACACTCTTTGCTGGAAACTCTGTGGCTTCTTTTGAGTATCAAGATTCCAGTAGAGAGCCTGGGATGTACTCATACCCAACAGCTAGGTTTAATGAACTGATTTGGCAGTAAGTTTTGTTTTATTTTAATTCACAAGCAACACTAATTTTACTTTACTATTCTTACTTTTGCTACTTACTATTTTTTCTTCTATCATAACTAACCATAAAAATCTTTAAATGAAAATATCTTCCAGTAGTATAGGCATCCAGAAAGGAGAATGTGGAAGATGTGTCCTTTCTAGCAGTGATGCTTCAGCCCACCGTATAGACATCCTGTGTTCTCATTGCCAGTGTGAAGGGAAAGGGGGAGGAACCTGTGGATATGCAAATCGCTCCACATACATACAGCAACCGTCAATCATAGGAAAGGTCAATGGAGACTGCGGCTCTCCCACCTCGTGAAAACCCCTTGTACCATTACTCCTGTTGCCATTGGTAGACAAACGAGAACTCTCAACGAGAGAAATTAGCCACCAACAATGGAAGAAAAAAAAAGAAACACTGTAAGGAAGTCCTGCATCTAGATCACTAAAGGCTCTTCCCTGCTCTCGTGGAATGGCTCAGCAGACAGAAGAACCTGCAGCCAACCCTGGCAACTACAATTAAACCCCAAGACTCCCGTGGTGGAAGGAGAGAAGCAAGTCTGGCAAGTGTCCTCTGATCTCCACACGGTGCCATGGCATGTGTGCCCTCCCTAATAATACAAATTAAAAAAATCAATAAACAAACCAAAAATCAATAAAGAAACAAACATGTAAAGAAAGACTCTTCCTTAATAGACAGTCACAGAGATCCAGACCCAAAGCCTTGATGCTGTGTCCATTGAAGGCCATAGAGATCATTGAATCAGAGAAGCTCTCCTTCCTTAACCCCCAATTCAGAGAGAATTTGGGGGCTCTGCTGTCACCAGCCATACTTTCCCGAGCACTGTGGTGGGTGATAGACTAAAGGGAAGAGAGACTGTGGGACTGCAGCCAAGCCCTCTGAAGAGATCACTGGAATACTGAGAAACTTGAACAATCCTCAAGTGTACTTTCTCACCCTGGCCCCATGCTCATACAGGTGTCTGTCCATCTGAGTCACTGAAAATCCACCATGGAGATCAGGTTACTCACCCATCAGGGCTCTCCATGGCTGAGAAGAGTCAGAAGGGTCAACATTCATTTGGATTTTCATATAATAATAATAATAATAATAATAATAATAATAATAATATATTCATGAAACATATATATGCTTCAAATGAGTTACTTCCTTTCGTCCAGATTGAGAGTGAAAATATCAATTAGGTGGGAGAAGATGTGAAACATTTTTTATGTCAAATTTCTTTTGCAAGTGGTTATTTAAGTGAGAGGACATAAAATGATGGCAGGTGTAAAAGCACACAGCTTTAATCTGAGCACTTGGGAGGCAGAGGCAGACAGATTTCTGAGCCAGCCTGGTCTACAAAGCCTGATTTAGGACAGCCAGAGCTATGCAGAGAAACCCTGTCTTGAAAAGCCAAAATGGGAGTGGGAGAGGGAGGAAAGAGAGGGAAAGGGAGAGGGAGAGGGAGGGGGAGAGGGAAAGGGAGAGGGAGAGGGAAGGGGAGGGGGAGAGGGAGAGGGAGAGGGAGGAGAAGGAAAGGGAGAGGGAGAGGGAGGGGGAGAGGGAGGGGGAGAGGGAGAGGGAGAGGGAGGAGGAGAGGGAAAGGGAGAGGGA